CAAATAAATTTAGAAAACCACTACCTTTTATTACTTCAAACTTAATATATATTTCTTTTCTACATAAGATAATGATTTTTTTTAAACAGTCTATCACTCTCTCATATGTGAATTATATCAATAATGCTTGTATGCTTAAAGATGAATACAAGTTGCTAGCTAAATATCTTTCTTGCAATCCATTTTTAAAACAAATATGTGAAAGAGAGCACATGGAGGAATAAGCATCTTCCGCGGACCAGTCACACCCGCTATATTTTCTTCGTCATGATCAAGAAATAACGGAAAAAATTTAGCGACAATTTAGTGCGTAAATGATGATCTTATAATTGATTTGATCAGGTTTAAAAAAATTACAAGACCCATACCTTCTCTTGACCGTATTTCCATAGCATCTCTATTTTCCTAGAGTCCACATCAAATAACCCCTAATTTTCCTCCGATTACCTCCTAGCTAAACATCTGAAGAAGTTCCATAATCTATCTCGAACGAAAATACTTTATCATAATTTTACTTCTATTTCAAAAACATTGACAGTGGAAATGAAGTGGAAACATGAAACCTGTAATTATTACGTTTGTTCTCTCTTTTCATTGATCTTGGAATTCAAGACAGCTGAAACAAGTGGATGTGTGAGAACTATTGAAAGAACTTTAATTTTCTCCATTAATAATAAAGGTAATTATAAAATGATCCAAAATCGAACAAATCATTTTAAGTGAAACTCTATATAATTTGAAACAATAGTGTCTTAAGCAAAAAAGTACATATAATAGCTTGGAGAGAAGTAGCTAGAACATAAAAGATTTTGAGGTTTGGAGATTGAGACTTATTCTCTTATTCTGAGTAAATATGTTGAAGAACCTAACATGTTTCATCTTCATCACAGTATTTCCTTATATTCAGTTCTTGTATCAGTTTCAATGTAGACAGAGCTGTAGGAAAGAAACTTCCTGTGAATCCTATCAAAATCGTTAAAGGTGTAGGCTTACGACTCTGTTTGAAACAATGCGAAAGACACCCGTCGTGCTTGTCTATCAATTTTAATCAGAAAACGTTCGAATGTGAATTGCTAAATGTGTTGGGAAACTCATCAACACGGTTTGTCGATGAGAGCAACTACATTTTTGAAGAACTATCAAAAGACGTAAGTACATAACTTTAATTGTTACAAGTATGATGTAGGATTTTAAATATTTATTATACAGCTGTAGTTTTATATTTGTACAAAAATAACACAGTAAAAACATTAATTTATGTTTTCTTATGCTTATATGCAAGCTCACCGCAGCTTGTTTTTGCTAATTTTGTATAAGTCAAATAAAACACTTTCATAGAGATGAATAATGTCATTTATTAAAATGACGGTATAAATGTGAACAATTTAACAAACAAGAAGGGGATCAGATTCACAAGCTTTGATTAGCAGTTACGTAAAATATGATAATGTCTGATCCCCCAAAACTGACTAGAAAAAAGTATCTGTAAGACAAGACAATGAAAACATCATATGAAAAAAGTTAGCAAAAAGATGGCACATAAAAACAAAATAGGTCACAAGATGTGACATGCAAGTCACATCCATGTTAGATGTGACATGCAGATCACATCCGTGCCATCCAAGGTGAGCTTGCACACAATATGAATTATTCATGGAAGCAGTTAATCACTGGCCTCTACATACATTTTATTTTAAAGTAATGCAATGAAAAATCCTCCTATTATTATTCCATAATCACAGTTTACACGAAAATGTCATATGTAATACAAAATGAAGGAAGAACATCTTATAAAATAATGTCCGCGAAATGTTAAGAAATATAGGCATTACTAAGTAATTAAAGTATGAAATAACAATAATTTCAGAATAAATGATATAACAATCACAAAGTATTGTATGAGCCAGCAAGCAAGCTAGGTTAAGAGAGGTGTATTTTAATATCCAACAGCAGTTATTCACTGACCTGTCAGTGTGCAAATGAACATGTTCCTTAAGGTACTTCATCTTGTAGGAGTAAAACAAAACAGCAGTTAAATACTGACCTGTATTTAAACTGCATTCTATTAGCTGACTATTTATCATGAGTAGAACAAAACAACAGTTAAACACTGACCTGTATTTGAACTACCTCCTAGTATCTGACTATTTATTGTTTATAGAACAAACAGCAGTAAATCACTGACCTGTATTTGAACTACCTCCTAGTATCTGACTATTTTTTGTTTATAGAAGAAACAGCAGTAAATCACTGACCTGTATTTAAACTACATCCTAGTATCTGACTGTCTATCATGAGTGGAACAAAACAACAACTAAACACTGACCAGCATTTGAACTATCGGTACATTATAGAATCTGGTTATCCATTGGGAGTAGAACAAAACTTATATGTTTGAGGTCTAGTAATTTAAGCAAACTTAAATTTTGCAATTTCTACCTAGTGATGAGTGATAGTGTCCTTGAGTAGGACACAAGGTCAGTGAAAATTTTACATACTCAAACCTTGAATTATTTAATTTTCTCTATTTATACTACTTTTAACTGTTTAGTTCTAATTTGTAATTTAAAGATTTGAATTAGAAATTGGACAAAATATTCAACAATCCCAATAATACCTGCAAAACAACTGTTCCTCTTAGAACTGTAGAACCAAGAATGTGGTATACATTAATTCCATGAATTATTTCCTTTTAATGGAGGAACATACCATGCGGCTATACCCGACAGTATGAATAAGTTTTACAAGGTGAAGGTTAATATTATTATGATCTTAAGCAAATCGTGAATATAATGTGAACTTCCTAGATTATACTGAATTTTGTAAATAGCATCTACAGGGAACTTGAAAGTTTAAATATAAGTATAAGCTAATATCCCTAAAAATAAGATTGCATGGAAAGTGGCCTTAATGTTAAACTAGAGAACTTAAAGGTGTTTACTAAAGGCCTAGTACAAAAGTAATGAATTGAAGGGGTATAGTTATCCTATACCAAACCCTATTTAAGCCATCGATAAAATATTTTCTTGCAAGATACATAACCCGTGCTTTTATTTGTAAAAATACCTTGTTTAAGGACAAATTCCCTCCCTATAGATCATGTTTATTAATAAAGACACAATCTTTAATTTGTTTTATTAAAGGAACAATAATCTTGATTCTGTCATATTCAAATTTGTCACATATTTATCTTTGATTCAAATAAAGATTACTCATTTCTTTGACTGGATAATCCTAGCATATAGAGTGGATTGTTTACCTGTTTAAGGACATATCCCTCCCATAAGTAAATGAAATTGAAGAAGTGAAAATCCTATCCTTAATTTATAAATAGAAAGGCCAGTTGTAAAAGGTGATCATTTGTGATGTGGATAATTGGAATCTGCATATATCATTTGCTTGCTGACTCACCTGCAAATGTTTTATAAGAAACCAAGTTTCATGATCTAGCTAGTATGGATGCTTTCTCAACCAACGTTAGTGGATATCCTGGTCATTCAGCTGATTTAGGGCACATCCATGGCAGCACTGCTGCAGTTTTGCTGGCACATACATGTATCTGCATCTTATATAAGGTTATTGCATGGTAAAGTCAAAAAGTGTCAACCAAGTTTTGAAATTTTTAATATAGATATAATACATTAAATTCACGGCATTAGGCACAGCTTCATTTGGCTCCCCAGGCTATGGAGATCATCTTAGTTCCCTCTTACAGTGTAACTGGAATTAGTAAAATGTTATGATGAGGGTTGTAAGGATTCTTTTCCTGAGGATCTGTGTTCTCACCGATTGTTCGGGATGTATCTACAATGTACTTAAAAGTTAATTTTATTATTATTATTATTATTATTATTATTATTATTATTATTATCATTACTCATCCACGTACAAAGTGCTCACAAGGGAGGATACCAACTCAAAATTGGGAAGCAAAATTAGGTCTACATGAGCAAACAATGCAACAACAAAAGAAAGGATACTTTCTTCAGGATGAATTAGCAGATCCTGCACAATTATTATAATATATGATAAATGTTTGGGTAATTCAGGATGACTTAATATTGGCAACAATCTGGCAATATGACCAAGGACATATCAGAAGAAATATTAAAAACTTAACAGTATATTTCATGAATCCACTACAGGGAACAATAATTTGTATGGATTTTTCCAGTGTCACCTCATAGATATTACTTACTTTAAGAGGTATATGAACTAAAACATGAATAAACATTAGAACTCTAAGAAAGAAGGCATATACTGCCAGTAAACAATATCAATTAAATGAACAAATACTTTATCGTAATAAGTTTTGTCCCAAAACAATGAATCATATCTGAAACTCTGACCCTTATGTATATAAAACTCCTAACCAATCAAAATACGTCAAGAGCAATTAACAATAGATACATGTATCTCTGCCTCATTCGTACATGTAAATTCCTTAACCAAACTAATATGTGTTACTGCGATTCATAGTATCAGTAACTGCTGTTATCAGAATATTAAGCGACATAGGCATAATGGGTAAATTAAATGCTATGGGTCAGTCAACATCATTGTACTATTAATGACATCAATATTAGCTTCAATAGGAAAAACCGTGCCAAAAGTCAGATGTGTTTTATAAGACACAATTTGAATGTCATTTCGAGCAATTAACAATCAACACTATAAGTAACTTTGACCCAACCAACAGATGTGCTTCATAAGACACCATTTGATCAACTTGATTGTCATTATAAGTGAATAATAATAATAATAAAAACAATATGGGTAATTCTGACCCAACCATAAACAGATATGATATGCAACATAAGATGCCAATTGATTGTAATTAGAGGCAGCCAACAATCAACATCATAAGTAACTCCGACCCAACAATGAACAGATATGCTTCATAAGACGTCAATGATTGTCAATATGAGCAGCCAACAATAGACACTCTGACCCATCAATAAACAAGATAGGAAACTCTTACTCAACAATAAATAAACAATATGGGTAACTCCAAGCCACCAATAAAGAATATGGGTAACTCTGACCCAACAATAAATGAACAATATGGGTAACTCCCAGGCAACAATAGACAATATGGGTAACTCTGATCTAACATTTAACAATATGGGAAACTCTGACCTAACAATAAATAAACAATATGTTTAACTTCGACCCAACAATAAATAAACAAAATGGGTAATTCCGACCCAACAATAAACAGTATGTATAACTCTGACGCAACAATAAGCAATAAAGGTAACTCCGACCCAGCAATAGACAATATGGGTAACTACGACCCAACAATAAACAATATGGGTAACATCGACCCAACAGTAAACCGAAAAGCTTCATACGACGCCAATTAATTGTCAGTATGAGCATCCAACAATAAAACAATATGGGCAACTCCTACCCAAACAATAAACAATATAAGTAACTGCGACCCAACAATAAACAATATGGGTAACATCGACCCACCAATAAACCGAAAAGCTTCATACGACGCCAATTGATTGTCAGTATGAGCATCAAACAATAAAACAATATGGGTACTTCGACCCAAACAATAAACAATATAAGTAACTCCGACCCAACAATTAATAATATGGGTAACATCGACCCAACAATAAACCGAAAAGCTTCATACGACGCCAATTGATTGTCAGTATGAGCATCCAACAATAAAACAATGTGGGTATACCGACCAACAGGTACAATCTACTGTGTACCAAAACAATGTGGGTATACCGACCAGGTACAAATATTGTGTACCAAAACAATGTGGGTATACCGACCCACAGGTACAAATATTGTGTACCAAAACAATGTGGGTATACCGACCCACAGGTACAATCTACTGTGTACCAAAACAATGTAGGTATACCGACCCACAGGTACAAATATTGTGCACCAAAACAATATGGGTATACTGACCCAACATGTACAAATCTACTGTGTACAAAACAATAAACAACAAAGGTAACTGTGATCCAATAAGTGAATAACTACTGTGTAACATGGGTAACTCTGACCCAATAAGTACATATCTACTGTGTACCACACCAATAAACACTATGGGTAACTTTGACCCAATAGGTAAAACCTTGTACCAAAACAATAAACAACTTAAGCAACACTGATCAAATAGCTACTTATCAACTTTTTATCAAAATAACAAACTTGAATAAACTTGAAAGAGTAATACTGATCCCATTAGTACATAATTATTAAATTTGTACAATGTACTAAAATAATCAACCACTTGAGTAACACCGATTCAATTTGTAACTATCAACTTTGTATCAACAGTTTAAACCGTTAACAACACCAACCCAATAAGTACATAAATTATCCACCGAAACGATAAACATCTTGAGTAATCATGTTAATATTGTCTACACCAACCAAATTAGTACATATACCTTGACTACCTAGACTTTGTACAATATCCATTCAATATTTATCAATATACAAAACATGAAATGTTACATATAAACTTAATTTGAACCAAAACTGATCAAACAATAAGGAGCAATTCAAGAAACACCAAAGTATAGAAACTATCTGAACTATGTATATAAAGCTCAGTCCACAACCCTTAAACTCCAAAGAGTGAAAATGAGATATTGGTACATTTATTTACATGATTACAATATACATTTCTCAACTAACCTTAAAAGATAGCTGACATTACCTATTAGATTCTGTTAAGGAAGGGGCAGTGTTTTAACAATGCTGCCTAGCTGTTTTACGTCATGTTGAATGCAAAATGAATATGCAAACTATGATAGGTAATTGAAATTCTCATTGTAGTTCAATAAAACTAAATAACTTTGCATAAAGTTGCTAATTTAAAAGCTTACACCATAGATTATACATGATTTGAGTATTAAACAATGCCTTTGAATAATTGAAAGTGATAACTTATACACAAAAAACTATTTGGAAATCCCAAGCGCGTTATGTATAATTGTAAATCACTTATAAAGTAAACATAATACTGGCCTTCGTCCTCAATTACATGGCAAGGCAAACTCTCTTATGCACGCGGTGAAGCAGCACAGGTGTACGCCAGCTGGACCTAAAACGCCCAAGTTTGAGGTTCAGGGTCTCCCGCTGTGGCCCCAGCTGTGAAATAGCGATGCTTGCAGCAGATACTTGCAGGATGTTCGTTATCTATCACAACTTTTGTTGATCAAACTCTGTATCCACTGATCATGGAGATCGATATAGAGATAGTAATCATTAAAGGTATCTATTTGTTTCGTTCAACCAGTAACAAATAGCTTACTTTGAAATCCTTTCAAATTCAGACTAGGAAAAAGTTCCACGTTTGATGTCGCAATAAAATAGCTCCATGAAATATGTTCTTCTCATGAATATCTGCTTATAAATAAAGTTCATATCGGCAGAAAAATACACCAAATGTATCATACAGTAATCAGGTAATATATTTGATAACCCGCGCACATATTATGTACCACCGCATCAGTAAACAATAAACCAGAAAATCCACCCGTTCTTGTAAATGGCACTTTACAACACGAACAATACTTTGTTCCTTTCCATTCATTGGAATTTCATCTCGACAGAAAGCCAGGGCACGTTCAGCTAAGTTAAACAATCACAGACATTGTAACAAATCTTCAAAATAGACGTGCCTCTAATTTTAGCGTGGTCAGCAGGCGGGTTATCACAATACAACTGAATGACTCGCTGAGCTGACCACGTGACCTTACACCTTCTATCATACGTAGTCCATCAACCAAGGTGTGGATCTAAGAATTTTTTATATTTTACCAAAATAAATCCTACCGGAAACCTCCAACTAAGTTATCGCATTCAATACATAAATACAATTATTATTCTAAAAATTGTTGTTTTAAGAAAAAAATTCGAACGTCCAGATCAGATCAATGTATGTTATAATTATAGGATGACAACAGAACACTTTGTGGAGATTCATTATGTATGTTATAATTGCAGGATGACAACAGAACACTTTGTGGAGATTCATTATGTATGTTATAATTATAGGATGACAACAGAACACTTTGTGGAGATTCATTTATGTTATAATTATAGGATGACAACAGAACACTTTGTGGAGATTCATTATGTATGTTATAATTATAGGATGACAACAGAACACTTTGTGGAGATTCATTATGTATGTTATAATTATAGGATGACAGCAGAACACTTTGTGGAGATTCATTATGTATGTTATAATTATAGGATGACAGCAGAACACTTTGTGGAGATTCATCATGTATGTTATAATTATAGGATGACAACAGAACACTTTGTGGAGATTCATCATGTATGTCATAATTATAGGATGACAACAGAACACTTTGTAGAGATTCATTATGTATGTTATAATTGCAGGATGACAACAGAACACTTTGTGGAGATTCATTATGTATGTTATAATTATAGGATGACAACAGAACACTTTGTGGAGATTCATTATGTATGTTATAATTATAGGATGACAACAGAACACTTTGTGGAGATTCATTATGTATGTTATAATTATAGGATGACAACAGAACACTTTGTGGAGATTCATTATGTATGTTATAATTGTAGGAAGACAACAGAACACTTTGTGGAGATTCATTATGTATGTTATAATTGTAGGAAGACAACAGAACACTTTGTGGAGATTCATTATGTATGTTATAATTCTAGGATGACAGCAGAACACTTTGTGGAGATTCATCATGTATGTTATAATTATAGGATGACAACAGAACACTTTGTGGAGATTCATTATGTATGTTATAATTATAGGATGACAACAGAACACTTTGTGGAGATTCATTATGTATGTTATAATTATAGGATGACAACAGAACACTTTGTGGAGATTCATTATGTATGTTATAATTATAGGATGACAACAGAACACTTTGTGGAGATTCATTATGTATGTTATAATTATAGGATGACAACAGAACACTTTGTGGAGATTCATTTATGTTATAATTATAGGATGACAACAGAACACTTTGTGGAGATTCATTATGTATGTTATAATTATAGGATGACAACAGAACACTTTGTGGAGATTCATTATGTATGTTATAATTATAGGATGACAACAGAACACTTTGTGGAGATTCATTATGTAACAATTATTCCACCTGTATTTCTACGTCATCAACCAAGAAAATCTGCATTGCTACAGGTAGGTCATTTTTCTGTTCAAGGACATTTTGGAAATATATTAATTAGAATTGCAGGCACACTTCACTTACATTGTTAAATTAATATCATTTGACTGGACTTTTGGGCTCAATTACTGTTCCTTATCAGCATAAGAGATTTCTTCTAAAACATTTTTTTTCAAATCCTATAACAACTAAAATGCGTACGGAATATGCTTGGCAAGCACATTAAAACCCCGAAAGAAATTACGTTTGATTCAGCATATCAAGTATTTTTAGCATGTATATAGAACTTGTTTACTGTCGCAATTCACTTTCAAATTAGTTCAAATGCGTATATACTATGAGAAACTTATTGCAAAATCTTGAATTTAAATATTAATCAAAAGAAAATTTAACATGTAAATGGAGGAAAAATGCTGTTTTAGCTTTAGGCACTATGAATTAAAACATTTGTATGTATCAATTGTTTTTTTATAATGAATATTTTGAACATATTTTACAATAGAATAATTTGTGTTGGCTTCATATAAATATATCAGTATATTTATAATAAATATTGGAGTCATGCATCGCAATGTTTTTTGGTTACCTGTATTTATTAATTAAATTGGTTACCTATATTTATTAATTAAATATATTTAGAATTTTTCTCAATTGTGTAACGATTCTCAAATAATAGAATCATCTATTGTTATATATGTCTTAAGTTAAATAAATGTTTCTTTTAAGAATGTTCAGAACCTGTCCCTTTCCTGGAAAATGGAATCATTCTACGTCAGAACTATAATCCTCCTTCTGTAACATTTGGCTGTCAACAGAACTACATTGCCGTAGGTCAAGGGAACACAACAACCTGTACACCCGGAGGTAAATGGTCACCTCTTTCTTTGATCTGCGAATTCCTGGGTATTACAGATCTTATTAACAAATTTGCTGTAATTTGTTGATCAAACCTTGATTATACCACCGCAACTGGAAATCTTAATATTCTTTATATATTTATAATTTAACTTCTCTTTTATGCATATCGTATATAAGATTATTTTGTTTTGACGATCTTTTTAAAGGTTCAATACGATTACAAAGCGGAAGTTCGCCAAACGAAGGCAGGGTTGAACTTTCTATCAACAACACATGGGGAACCATTTGTGATGATGCCTGGACGGAAACAGAAGCTCGGGTTGTTTGCCAAATGATGGGGTATACCGGGTAAGTGTTTTATGGAAAGCCACAAGGGACTCATGTTATCAGTCTTCTTTTGACCAAAATATTCATCCTGACTTGGTCAAGATTATGTATGTAAAGATCATGGCGTGGACATGTTTGAAATCCTGACTTGGCAAAAACTGCAAAGAATTATATACAATATGATTTGAGGGTTGTAAGTGGCTTTACGTACCTTTTAAAGGATACACTTGTTTTATGCTCTATAACTATAACTTACTTTCAACTGGCACTGATCTGATCATTTAATTACTTTCAGTATCGCCACTCCTAGAACCGCTGCCTATTTTGGGGAAGGTGAGGGTCCTATCTGGTTAGACGGTGTAAAATGCTCTGGGTCGGAGTCTCATCTTCTGTTGTGTGAACATTCCCCAATAGGAAGCCATAATTGTTATCATTTTTAAGATGCCGGTGTTACATGCTAGTAGAACATTAGTAGCAAGAATGAAATATTTTTCAAGATAAATAATAAAAACAATAAGAAACAAACATTTGTGCACCAGTACAAACTTTTAAAAGTACACGCTAAAATATGATTAAAATTGATATGTGCATGTCGTCTTAAAGACACACATGTAAGGACGCTGAGTTGTGTTTTTGTTAATTAATATTTCACGAAGAGGGGATAGATAGGCTAAATTTTGAGTTTGCTTATGTTCATATGTTTGTAAACAGTTATTCTGCTTTCAGTTCAATATCTTTCTTCCAATATATATCTATCTTATTTTCACCCTAATGCGTCCATTTGCATTCCACTTGAGTTTCATTTTGCATGTTCTCTAATTTTAAAACAAGAATCTTTGAATAAACGTTTTAATAAGTAATAAAGATACTGATAATTCTCTGAAATATGGACACAGAGAAGCATAAAATTAAATAACCTACTGACAGGTTCAAATCATGAAAGAGAAAAAATATGATTAATAGTTATATAATTATTTTATAAAACTATTTTAAAATTAATATCATGTACATGTACATATTTCCTAATGATTCGTAAAATTCTGAAACTAGAAAATAATTGCTAACTGGGATTTTTTCAAGTGATCAAATACTCAGTACCCAGACAAAGATCCAGTATGCAATCCTGATGAGGTTTTTAAAGCATATCTAAAAATTTCCAAAGGATTCTGGATACATTCTCTTATTTTCTTAATGACCTGTTTAGTTACATTTTGTCGCAAAGTGTTCACAATTATTTCCTATCATGTCAAATGGGCCCCACCGATGCGGATTTTCCAACAATTCCTTGGCTTCTTGAACTACAACCTCCGGAGGTAGGCATTGTCCTGCAGAATATTTTATTCTTACAAGTCTTCTTCGTCCAAAATCAATGAATTGAAACAGATCAACGCGCCGCACTTTTGCCCTTCTTTTGTCTGGTCCACCAAATTCGATGATGCCTTCCTTGTGACTGATGAAAATACCATGGTGGTAGTACTCAACACCATTTTGTTCTCCAGCAACAGCTATGTGATCCCCAGGTTCTAAGGACCTAGAAAGTAAGCAACATTTACATGGATGCCCGTAACAATTTTAACAGTTTCCTTTAGAACGTTTTATTCTAATAGTATGCTTAAATTAATTGTTTAAACATTTTTATAAACTTTACAAGCAAAACTTATTTTTACACACATTGATATGCTTTTTATCAAGATCTTTTATTTTGAGGTACATTCTGTTTTCTTTTTCAAGATCCAGGTTTTCATGAAACTTACAAGTAAAAAAAAATGATCGAAAATGGACGTTTTCTGTTGCATACTAGTATGTCGAGATAAATAAGAAGTATTGAAAATTCTGAAAAGTTCATTTTAACAATGAAACATACGAAGATAACGAACAGTATTCAAGATCAAAAGTCCATAAAACAATATAAAATAGAAGCAGAGCAAACACGGACATACAAAACACCAGAGATGGGATCAGGTGCAATGGAGCATCCCCGTGTCGACCGGTCCCACCCGTCGTGTGCTCCTGTAATGATTGAGAAATAACGAAAAAATCTATTGACAATTCATTGTATAAATAATGGACTAACAATTAGTATGAAGAACGTCAGTCAGCATTTGACTCAATGATAAATTGTATTTGCTGATAAGCTCTTTGTATATCGACCATAGAACCTAAGAAAGAATGACTTTAAACGAAACTGCTGATATTCTTGTTTGATCATCTTGTTTGTCAATCTTCAGTAGAACCGACACTGACCTATGAAAACTGGTGCCTGGGATCAGATTCCATTGATATGTAAGCTACCCCATTCGACCTGATAAATCTACCTTGTGTGGCCTTTTCTATGATAAGGTAAAAGGAAAAAATCGAATGACTATCCAGTTTGAAAATATTGGTTCAACAATTTATATGAAACTTATGCTTCAACATTCAGCCTTACTAGAGAAAGTTTTCGCAAAAACAACATATTGCATTGACCCAAAGAAGAATTTGCCAAACGTTAACTTAAAATGGGATTGTTGACATCACTTCCTGTTAAAAGCCTGTCGTTTAAAAGAAAATAATCCTGTGCAAAGAATTAAACTCGAGATATAAACCTCATATGCAGGTTTTCCCACAGGCACTTTGGGTATGGACCCCTCTTTTCCATTTTTCTTTTCTTTTTAAATCCGGGGTCGAGTCGCCTTTTTTCCTATTTTGTATTCTAATATGCACTATATATTATCAATAATGTAACTCTTTTGTCTCTATAAGCTGTTTTTTTTAAGTATAATCGTTTTCGACTGATACATAAAAAGAGAGAACTTCAGGCTTGCAACTCTTTTCTCGTCATCCGCCTCACCTCGTCTAAACTTCGCTCGATTATTTACCTAAAACAGAATAAAACATGGGATATGCATACATTAATTAATTTGTTATACATTACTCTTCCTTTTCATATTTCCATTTAATTTTCATGTGCCCCGGATTTGTAAATATTTCGATGAAATCACCCGCATCTTGGGTGCCCCCCCCCCCCCACCCCTTGTTGCTACGTGCCTGGACTCACTAAATAAAATAAGTCTAGGAAGAGAAATACCCCAGTATCATACCAAAATGTGATCTAATTTTTTCTACAGAGGCCACGTATACTGACTAGCTAAGACCATAAACTGTTGACTGCCATATTCTTGATCATTTTTTGTCCCCCGCTTTCGCGAAAGCGAGGGGACATTAAATCTCATTCATCTGTTCGTCTGTCCGTCAGTCTCTCAGTCTGTCCGTCACAAAAACTTTAACCTTGCCCATAACTTTTGATTTAGTGGAGCTATGACTTTCATATTTCACATATGTATTCCTTGTGAGAAGACCTTTCTTTGGGTACCACCAAATTTGCCTTTTTGACCTTGACCTTGGAGTTTGACCCACTTTTCCACAAAAAATGCCATACTGTTACTTTGGCCATAACTTTTGAATGGTAGATACTTTCACATTTCAGATATATAATTTTATAACAAGACCTTTCATTGGATACCAACAACTTTGACCTTCTGACCTTGACCTTGGAGATTTTGGTACTTTGAAAAAACTTTAACTTTGATCATAACTTTTGAATAGTAAGGGCTAGGGCTTTCATACTTCATATATGTAATTTTTGTTAGAAGGCCTTTCATTGGATACCAAGAACTTTGACCTTGATCTTGGAGTTTGACCTACTTTTCAAAAACTATCTCTTTTTCCACAACTTTTGAACAGTAGATACTAGGACTGTCATATTTCACATATATTTCTTGCGGCAAGATCTTTCATTTGATATCAACAACCTTGACCTTTGACCTTGGAGATTTTTCGTACTTATGAAAAAATTTAACATTTACCATAACTTTTGAACGATAAGGGCTAGGGCTTTCATACTTCATATATGTAATCTTTGTGAAAAGACCTTTCATTGGATACCAAGAACTTTGGCACTCTGACCTTGGAGTTTGACCTACTTTTAAAAAACTATCACTTTTTCCACAACTTTTGAACAGTAGATACTTAAGTACTAGGACTCTCATATTTCACATATGTATTTTTTGCGGCAAGACCTTTCATTTGATATCAACAACCTTGACCTTTTGACCTTGACCTTGGAGATTTTTCGTAGTTATGAAAAAATTTAACCTTTACCATAACTTTTGAACGGTAAGAGCTAGAGCTTTCATACTTCATAAATGTAATTCTTGTCAGGTCTTTCATTGGATACCAAGAACTTTGACCCTCTGAACTTGACCTTGGAGTTTGACCTACTTTTCAAAAACTATCACTTTTGCCGCAACTTTTGATCAGTAGATACTAGGATTCTTATTTCACATATGTATTTCTTGCGGCAAGACCTTTCATTTGTTATCAACAACCTTGACCTTTTGACCGTGGATATTTTTCGTACTTATGAAAAAACTTTATCCTTGACCATAACTTTTGAACGGTAAGGGCTAGGGCATCCATACTTCAAATATGTACATACTTGTGCAAAGACTTCGCATCGTATACCCAGTGATGATTTCTAAATAAATTACATATAATAGGGTGTTCATATTACACACAATATGTCATTTAAAATGACATCTCATCCACAAAGACACCGAAAGCGGGGGACCACAATTCCTTGAATTTGCGTGTATAAAATTAAATCGGCAATATATGTTTGAAAGTATTAAGTGACTTTGACTTGGAACGGGAAATGTCACATACAAATTGAATTGATAAATACAATTATATTCATTTGATATATATTATATGAGGTCGGCCTTCTTAACGTCAGACGCAAAGACAACTGACGCACGAGATTTAAACATGTACATTTATCAGGTCTGGACGATTTCTAAATATGGAAGTCAAGAACGATAACCGAAAGTTGCTATAAATGTACATGTACATCAAGTACACGTAATTATTTTTCTGTCCAATCAGACAACAGCATTTTTACACACCTCAAAACATATTTTAAAAGAACAAAAAGATAACACGTGCTTTTGTTTTTTTCCTCAAAAAGTTTTTTTTAATAAAAAATCTGTAGAAGTAAGATGAAAACTTTTGAAGAATAAGGTATTCCCCACATTTTTACCGTGAACAACCTTGACATTTTTATCTCGGTAAAGAAAACAAGAGGCCCAGGGGCCACAGCGCTCACCTGAGCACATCAGGCTTGAATTTACCCCCCCCCCCTTCCAGGCGATAATCATTTGAACAAACTTGAATCTACACTACTTGAGGATGATTCCATCTTAATACCCCGGGTATCACTAATCATAGCTTTGAAGTACTTGAAAAGAAGAATTTAAAAGGTTTCCCGATATATCCCTATGTAAAACTTGGGTCGGCCATTTTGGCCCCACCCTATTCCCAGGGCCGGGGGGTCATGATTTGTACAAACTTGAATCTACACTACCTGAGGATGCTTCCACATGAGTTTCATCTTTCCTAGCCCAGTGGTTCTTGAGAAGAAGATTTTTAAAGATTTTCCCTACATACTCCTATGTAAAATTTTGGTCGGCCATTTTGGCCCCACCCTTGCCCCGGGGGTCATGATTTGTACAAACTTGAATCTACACTACCTGAGGATGCTTCCACAGGAGTTTCATCTTTCCTAGCCCAGTGGTTCTGGAGAAGAAAATTTTTAAAGATTTTTCCTATATATTACTATGTAAAACCTGGGTCGGCCATTTTGGCCCCATCCTTGCCCCGGGGGTCATGACTTGAACAAACTTGAATCTACACTACCTGAGGATGATTCCACATGAGTTTCATCTTTCCTGGCCCAGTGGTTCTGGAGAAAAAGATTTTTAAAGATTTCCCCTATATATTCCTATGTAAAACTTTGGTTGGCCATTTTGGCCCCACCCTTGCCCCGGGGGTCATGATTTGTACAAATTTGAATCTACACTACCTGAGGATGCTTCCACATGAGTTTCATCTTTCATAGCACAGTGGTTCTGGAGAAGAAAATTTTTAAAGATTTTTCTTATATATTCCTATGTTTAACTAGGGTCGGCCATTTTGGCCCCATCCTTGCCCCGGGGGTCATGATTTGAACAAACTTGAATCTACACTACCTGAGGATGCTTCCACAGGAGTTTCATCTTTCCTGGCCCAGTGGTTCTGGAGAAGAAGATTTTTAAAGATTTTTCCTATATATTCCTATGTAAAACTTGGGTCGGCCATTTTGGCCCCATCCTTGCCCCGGGGGTCATGATTTGAACAAATTTGAATCTACACTACCTGAGGATGCTTCCACATGAGTTTCATCTTTTCTGGCCCAGTGGTTCTGGAGAAAAAGATTTTTAAAGATTTCCCCTATATATTCCTATGTAAAACTTTGGTTGGCCATTTTGGCCCCACCCTTGCCCCGGGGGTCATGATTTGTACAAATTTGATTCTACACTACCTGAGGATGCTTCCACATGAGTTTCATCTTTCATAGCACAGTGGTTCTGGAGAAGAAAATTTTTAAAGATTTTTCTTATATATTCCTATGTAAAACTAGGGTCGGCCATTTTGGCCCCATCCTTGCCCCGGGGG